TTGTCCATCCCGATCTCAAAGTACAGTAAAAGTAAAGGTATGGCATGAAATAAGCCATATTGCAGTGCAGGGAGACTAGATGTGTAAACACGTAGGTGTTCTAAGCCACACGTCTATGAACAGTTGCCAGAAGACAAATTAAAATATGTAAGGCTATCCCATAATTTAATCTAATACTAAACTTGTGTTTCATTGGGCTAAGAACCCAGTTCCCAGATCTTGCTCAAATAATGCAGTCATTGAGTTCACCCTGAGGCTTGCAAACTGTTCTATGGCCCAGATTAAGGGATTTGTTAGGTTGGGCCTTTGGAAGCCTCAGTCTACACAGTCTAAAAGGAATGTGTATTTTTAGATTTCCATTCTGAACATCTTTTGTGTCACCTCTCCTCTGCTTTCTTGGCCAAGAGAAACAAAACTGTTTGATATTAAAATGATAAATCTTTGTTCTGTGTGACTGTAAACAGAACGTCTTTGCACACTTAAGATTTTTGTCATGAATAAAACCTGTGAATTTTCTCATTCCAGCTGTTGCAAAGGACAATCTCTTCTCTCCTGATGTCCTCGGCCAGTGAGGATGGGGTAGGTATAATGAATGCTGATCAAAGAAAGTTAAACTACAGAACTTAATGTAGAGGCAGAGTACCAATGTGTTGGCAGGTCAGCCGTGACTTTTGGTGGCAGGGTCTTGAAAATCCCCAGTGGTGGAGATTCTGACTTTCCAGGCAGTTCACTTCAGAACTGCACTAGGAGTGGTAAGAGATTTTACTACAAGTGAATTTTTTTTCCCATGTCCAGGCTGTGATTTGAGTGGGCCGTGCCGTTTGGCAATCCCACCTTGCAGCTGCTGATGCACTGCCATCTCATCAGACTCACACTCTCCTTTTCAGAAGGGGGATGGAGGCAGATGGGCTGTGTAGCTTCAGCTCAGCTGTGATCTGCAGAGCTACCTGCAGACAGAGCTCAGAGCTGCCACAGGCAGCACTGGACTTGTTCTCTGTTCTCTTGTTCTCTGGCTGAGGATCCAAAGACAGCAAAGATACCCTCCAAGCATCCCACCTTTTGGGTCTGGTCTCCTAAATCCTATAAACCACAACCACTTTGTAACAGCACAACACTGAGAGTACTGGCAGGTGGAAATAGTAGAAGAATTTGCAAAATGCATGCAAGATATTCCTTCCTAACTGTATGAATGAAACGCACATGAGCCGTGGAGATCCGTGGGCTAAAGTACAGTTTATGTAATCGTGAAGTAGTTATTCCTTTAATCTGAGATATCAGAAGAACCCTGACACTTGGCATAGTGACCCAGATTTATCATGGGTGAGGGAGGCACCTGGGTAGGTGCCTGGCTGGCATTGGCTGCTGGATGGTCGGCAGCCTTTAGAGAGTCATTAAGTCCAATTAGGATTCCAAGATTTTCCCTCTCCCTTGCACGTGAATGGGAGCAAAGGTCCGTTTGTTGTCTTGTTTAATCATCCCAGTTAAATATCTTCAGTTAGGTGATATGTACTGGGGTCAGTTTGCTTTCCCTGTCTTACAAGTTTTCCAGCATTTTCCTATTACATGCCCCACGTTTTCAGTGGGATTTGTGGGTAATATTTAAAGTAGAAAGTTACTCTGAAATAATAAATTATTTTTCTTATGCTGGAGGAGGATGTATATTTCATTTAAGTAAAGAGATACAAGAAATTTCCAAAATGTGTTTGATCCTTAAATGGCAGTCAAGTCTTGCTGAGTTTTACAGGATGTGTCTGGTTTGGTTACAGACTGGCAAAACATAGGTCTTTTTCGAGTTATTAGAATTCAAACAACCTCTTTTTCATGTTTCAGTGTGTATAATGCCAGTATTTAGAAGTCCAGCAACTCAGATTTTTTTATTCCCTGGCTGAAACACAGGGATAAAGATTAATCACAAGAAATACCACTTGAGGTGGCATTTTTTTGCCAGTGCTACTAAAGTTTCCAAGGGTGTAGCTTTGTAATCAATTCTTTTGGCAGGGAAGTTGGTTTTAGCCGTCACTGGCCCTGGCCACTTTTTCCTCACCTTGTGGCAGCCCTTCTGTTACACCAGTAGAGCTGTTTGTGCAGCTGCACAGTGAACTGGACTGCAGAACCGGTCTGGGGTAAAAATAATCTAGGCAAAAAAAAGAAAAAAGATTGTTGATACCTTGAGCCAGGCAACACCATGGGTATCACATACCTGTACAGAAGCACAGTGCAGATGAAGGCAGGGGCACAGTCAGAGGCTGGCTGTAGGCAACTCCAGTTAAGGAAAGAAATGGATGTAAACCTGGCACCTGAGATACTCTCTCAAGTGAAATATCAACAATGAGTGTTACCAGTTCTTGTGTTAACGTGGCGTCTCCTCTTAGTGCAGCCGTGCCAGACTTGCATCCCTCTCCTGCACACAGCCTCTGCAAATTCGCTCGGGCAAACGCGGGGGTGAAATGCCGGTCGGATCATTAAACAGGAGGGACTGTTGGTGCTGGTGGTGGTGATGCATGAACCACGAAAAATTGAAAGGGAGGAGAGTAAGAAGGGTTACAAAATGTTTTTTCCTTTAGTGGATCAGTTAGCACAGGTAATCAATGTATAGTATGTATATATACATTGCCAGCGTGCATGAGGTCCTGCAAGTGTCGGAAAGGAAGATACAGGGAGCATGTATAGGTTACGCTTCAGCAAAACTGAGTTCCAAGTCACAGTAACTTTTTTCTTTTTTAAACAGCTCATTTTTAAAGCCTGGTAGGACAGCAACTGAGACAGGAGTGTGTTCTAATTATTGAAAATCTAATACATTCATTCTTTCCATTAGTTCCAATGCACTTTTTGAATCCTTTAAAAAAATTGCGTGCTGGAAGAGGAACTTGCATGCTGCATCTTCCCAGCTGAATGCTGCCTAGAACAGAACGTCCAGCACTGTTTGTTGTACTCACCATGCTTTTACTCCTGCAGACTTATGAGGTGCAGAGCGTGCTGGGAAAGGAGGTGGGGTTATTGAACTGCTATGTCCACTCCGTAACCAGTCACCCCAACTGCATATCACTGGAGGAAATCGTTCTGGAAGCTGCAGCAAGACAGAGTTGAACTCTAGTCAGCTATTATAGTATCTGTGGACTTTGTAATGTGATTATCTGTTAACTAGTGCCACAGATAATGTATAATGCAAGTGTGATAAGCATTAAGATAGTTTATTAAAACTGTGATTTATAAAGCACATTGTGCTAACACATAAAAAATTAATATATTGTTCAACTTTCTGAACTCTTTTTTTTCCCGATCAGTGCAGAATCTAAGAATACAGTTCTTTGTCATGTTTGCTGTTATGTAATGTAAAATACCTTTTTCTGGAAGTTTTGAATGGTTGTGATTTTTTTTAATAATATCGTATTTATTATGTGTCAGTGGAAAATATTTTACTGATATTTTTGAAATAAATACCTTTCTATGGGCGGAGAATGTTGGTTTAAGCTGAGTTTTATCAGTGTATTCCAGACTTGCTGCAAAACGCTGCGTGGTGCGTGAATTCTGAATTATCACTTTGCAATAGTTGTTAACAAGACAGAGATTTGAACACATATAAAGTTAATGTTTTACAGCTAATTGGTCTCTCAGCATAGAAGTTGTGTGTTATCTGTAGCTTCCCACGAAGCAAGTGTTTCATTATAGTTTTTTTATGGGTAAGGAGCAAACTGCCTTGCAGGCCACACAACTACCCCCACCCAGACTGTGGAGACTACAGATCCGATAAATGCCAAAATCTTCCTCTGTGTGCGTTGCAAGAATTAATATAAGAATTAGAGACTGCATGGTTTTTTTCCCCCTTACTCTTTCAGTGTTTAAAAGCCCCTTACGGGTCAGAGGAGGAGGAACGAGTGATTTTGTGCAGGTCCCGTATGTGACTGACCAGCAGAAAAGGAACAGCAAACTTGCCACACGGGTCATTTCTGTGGCTCAGGCCAATAGTGAAAAGTCTTATGAATGTCACAATTACTAACGGGATGATCCAGCTTTTGAATTTCCCTTTTTTCCCCACCTCCTCCAAGCATTTCAGTCTCTCACCTGCCTCCGTGTAAGAAAGAAGGAGATGACAGCCCATTCCCGTGTAGATGTCTGTATGGGAGACTGGGGCTGCCCCTTCAAAACCATTTAAGACTGGAGTCTCTGGGAAAGCTGGAGGTGCTTGTTGTGTCAGGCCGTTTTTCTGCCAGTGCCCTACAGATGTTGTAGGTGCTCTAACACTGCACTATTGAAATTTAGACAAGTTGCCCGATCTTCTGTGATCTGTTCACTCAGCGATGAGCAACCGCGCTGCTGCTTTGTCCCTAGCAGGGATCAGTGAAAGTCTTTGTGACCACTGACTCTGTGATGAGCAGCAGTTGCCCACTCTCACTTTCACTAGCCAGGATCAATGAAAGTGTCCAGCTCCTGCAGTGGGCTGAAGCCTGAGGGTATCAACACCTCTGGGACTCACTACAGCCGGACCCAGCTCTGGAACGTGTTAGTGTAGGTGCAGCTTTGCATTATCTGGAATGGAAACCCCTTGGAAGTTTTTTTTAACAGGAATTTTAACTAGTGGTATACTTTTCTTGGTGTCCTTGTAGTCCTATGCACTTTTTGTTGTTTTTAATATATAGAATACGGTATTTCTGGCAAAGTCCTGGTCACAGAGCAGCCTCTCTTGTGCAGCTGCTCGGTCCCACCAGCGCCACGGCAACCCCTGACTCAGCACTCCGGCTCAGCGATGCGGCTCCGGGGGGAGCGAACTTCGCAACCACCGCGGCCGAGGGGTCCCACGCTTGTTCCCACCCCTGCATCGCTCTCTGGATGCTTTGGGAAGTAACGCAGCTCCCTCGCCCCGCACTTGCCCTTACCTCCCCTCTCGGCCCCTGGGACCCCCTCGCCGTATTCCCCGCCCGTGTTCAGCCCCGTCCCGGGCAGCGCAGCTTTCCCCGCCGCCAGCCCGCTGCTGTCACGACACAGAGCAAACGAGAGCAGGGTTGATTTAAAATGCTTTTCTTTATTCTTAGAAATGCTGTAAAAATTGATATAAAAGGTTGAGCATGCTCAGTCTTTTTTTTTTCCATCCTACTGTCTAAATACATGGGATTTTGAATCATTTTAACAGATGTACCATAGCTGCATCGGTATGAGTAAAATGTAGAAAAGACGAAAACTACCATTACAAAAATAATTTAAGGGGAGAGAAGAAAAAAAAATATTTAGCTTTTTTTCCCTTTTTCGCAAGTTTCGTGGTGAAAGACCCGGGCGTCGCCCCACGTCGCTGCCGCATTCCGAGCGCGGCCGCGGGCCGGCAGGTCCCGCCGCGGCTCCGCGCCTCCTGCCGCGCCCGGCCCGGCCCGGGGCGCCGCGGCACGGCCCGGCCAGGCTCGGCACGGCCCTCTGAGGTATTTATCCACCGTCTCCCGGAGTCCGTCTCTCCGTCCCGCTCCCCCCCGGTTACCGGCAGTCGGTGCCCGATCCGGGCTGCAGGAAGGAGGCGCTGGGCAGCTGCTTGAAGAAGTGCCGGAGGCTGGTCAAGTCCCGGGTGAGCTGCTCGATCTTCTTGTGCAGCTTCTCGTTCTCGGCCGAAAGCTCCAGCAGCTTCTGCTGCATCTCCTGGTTGCGCCGCTTCGCCTTGTCGCGGCTCTTGCGCACGGCGATGTTGTTGCGCTCCCGGCGCTGCCGGTACTCGGGGCTAAACCTGTCCACGCACTTCTTGCCGCCGCGCTCCTTGCCCCCGGCGGCGGCGGCGGCCGGCGGGACGCCCTGCGCCGGCCCGGGCACGGCGGCGGCGGCGGGGCCCGGCGAGCGGGTGCTGCAGCTGGACGGGGAGCTGCTGCCCGGCGGCTCGGGGGACGTGGGCGGCGTGGGCTGCCCGCTCAGGTTCATGATGGTCTGCGCGCAGGTGGCGATTTGCGAGGGCAGCAGCGAGGAGGAGAGGTCGCTGTCGCTCCAGTCCGGCTCCTGCTTCAGAGCGCCGCGGGAGGAGAAGGAGGAGGAGGAAGAGGAGGAGGAGGAGGAGGAGGCGGTGCGGGGCTCGGAGCCCAGCAGGGTGGTCATGGCAGCGCCGAGGTCCTTGGCGGGGTCGCGGCCGGCGCCGCCGCCCGGTGGCAAGTACTCGCCGTATTCCCCGCCCCGCTCGGGCTTGTGGTTGCTGTTGAAGAGGTCGGCGAAGAGCTCGTCGTTGCAGAGCTCCAGGTTGGGCACGGCAGACATGGAGTCAATGTAGGAGCTGAAGTCGATGGCGCTCTCGTCCTCGTACATGGCCGGGGCGGCGGCGCTCAGCTCCGCCAGGTTGGTGCCGCTGCCCCCCAGGCCGCCCCCCTGCTCCTCGCCGCTCATCCCGCAGCCGCCGCGGGCCCCCGGCTTGCAGGCGGGACCCGGCCCGCCGCCGCTGCCCACCTTGGCGTCGTAGAAGTTGGCGGGCTCCAGGCACCAGTTCTTATAACATGCCGGGGAGTCCAGGCTGTAGAGAGCGGCGGCGCTCATGGGCGAGCGGGACGCGGCGCCGCACGGCCGCGACGCGGGGGCTCCGGAGCGCGGGCACCAAACGCCGCTCCGCGACGGTCTCAGCTCCAGCCTCTGTCGCGGGCAGGTGGGAGCGGGGCTGCTGCCGCTGTTGCTGGTGCTCACACCGCTGCTGCTGCCGCTGCTACTGCTCGGTGACACCGGCGCTGCCGCTGTAGCCCCGCCGTAGCCTCCCCGAGGGGGCCGATCCGGGCTCGGGTCACGCCGTGAGCAGCGCTAGGAGGCGGGGATGGGACAAGGCGTCTCACGACCTGGGAGTGAAACGCCCGCTCGGTCCCTTCTTATACGGCGCGGGCCCCGCCTCCTGCCCCAATGACGGGGAACGACTGTTCCCGGCACCCCCGGGGACCCGGGGGCGGGAGCGGGTGGGGTGCGCGGCCGCCGAGGCCGGGCTGCCGCCGCAGCGAGCTGCCACCTCCCGGCCGACGGTGGCCGCCGTCCGAGGTGCCCCCACCGTGGGGCATGGGACGGTGCGGGTGCCTTTCGGGCTCCTGCCGCCCTCCTCGCACCGTCCCGTCCCCGGGGAGCGCTGCCCCGATGTCGCTACCGGCATCCCGTGCCTCCGGCTGAGCGTTAATTTACCTTTTTCCACGAGGGCCGGCGGAAAAGCAGGCTGAAAAAGCTGATTTTACCCCAGCACCACGCTGCATCCCCCCACGCGCTTCCCCAGCGGCGCCTGGGATGGAGCGCTACGGGAAGATGCTGCCTGCCCCACGCGTGTCTCTGTGTATCACCCGAGCGCCCTCCGGAGGCTCAGCTCCCTTCGCTGCAGCACGGGCAGCTTCGACCCAGGGAGGATGTAAATCCCCCGCTCCGAGAGAGGGAGGCCGCTTGGATTTCCTATGGCAGGACATTCTGGTGGGACAGGGTCTCTGAGGTATCTTTAGCTGCCTCACGCTGTCTGCATGAAGTTATGCCTCTTGAAACCTTACATTAAGCTATTATGCATGTTGTTGACCCCTGCCCCCCTTGCATCCCACAAACTACTACTCTTAAATTGGCAAGTGTCAGAGAACTGAAAATACTTTCGGCTAAAAGATAAGTTTTCTAGTTACATAAGAGTATCTAAAACCTGGCTTCACCCCCAGGTGCTCCACCGACTGAATTACTAAAGAAACACACAACAAAATCCCTTAAATTTACTTAGAAAAAAAATTTACTTATTTATTTATCGTCCAGAAGACCCTTCTATATTTAAGATGGGACTATCCTAGGCTCTGACTTTCCAGCCCAGCACTCAGCTGACGCTGCTGGCATGGAGCTGTGCCCTGCGGAGCGCGGCGCCACTGGCCCGGAGGTGGCTTTCTGGGGACCGCGGGTACATGCCGTCGTGCCGTGCCTGCTGCCCCTCTCCGGGCAGGGCTCCATCTACCGCCACCGCAGCTGTTGCAGGACCGCAGCTGTTTATCACAGGGGTGTGTGTACTTTAACATAAGTAGCTGGGAACAAGACTGGTACATGCTCTCCCTTTGGATGTAAGCTCCTCGTGGGAAGGCTTGTGGGATCAGGATAAGTGTGCAGTGCCTGGCAGGTGGGATTTTACATCTGGCAGGTAAGGTTTCACTTGGCGAGGCTTTGCTTTTAACTCTAGCACTGCCAGATGTATTATGTCTAAATAAACTTGATTTCCTTTCTCATCAGAGTATTGATAACACAACCTCTATCTACACTAGCATTAACCACTGAGCTTGACAGTGGCACAAGAAATGCTTGCTTTTGTTTTTTCCACGTTGTCAAAGAAATAATATGCCCCAAACTATTTTACGTGTTATTCGTTGCCTTCTATATGCCCCAGACCTTCTCTGGGGTCTCTTCATGAGACACAACTCTGCACCTCCTGCTCCTGGCCTGGCTCTCCAGCAGGGAACGTGGTGTTCCTGGACCCTTTTTCTCTGTATGAAGTGTAGAGGAGTGCATGCATGAGGCATGGGAAGGTAGCTCAGAAATGAGATGCAGTCTGATATCTGCTCTCTCTCCCCTTGCTCTGCTGGAAGGGGTTAGATCTCACCCATTGTGGTCATAAAATTATGATTTGTCTTGGAAAGCACTCATTTAACTGTTTGCATGCAGAACCGTGTTACACTTCCAGCTCACCAAAGTCCTTGCCTCGAAGGTCAGCCAGCGTTGGCATGCCACTGTGCCAGCCTGAACATGCCTATTTAATGCCCATCATGTGTTACTCCAAAAGAGACACCCAATTCCCAGCCAGGACACCCGACCCCCGCTGGGCACCTTGCCTCCTTGGCAATTACGTTCTCAAAATCCCTCAGCAGAAGGCACAGAGCTGCTGTGTAAACCTCAGTATAAGCCACTTGTGTCACATCTAAGCCCCACCACGGAGGGTGCAGCATTGCCTACAGGGTGTTCAGGACCTGGAGGTGTGTTCAGAACTCGTGGCTGGACCTGTCAGTGCCCGTCCCACAAAACCAAGCAGCAGGAGTCACCCCCTGGAGGTGAGTTGGTTGTGTTTGTTGCTGAGGATGAGATGTGTGATTTCAGGAGAATGTTTGAGGGGGCTCTCCCACGTGCCATGCAGGGTGTGAAGCCCTGGGGTGCTGCAACACCTGCAGCGAAGCACCCAGGAGAATGTGAGCAAGTGACACCTGGCACTTAGCAAGGCAGTGCACTGAAGGCAGGATGACATCCACGCTCTGCTGTTTCTCGGGCTAGATTTGTCTGGCATCTCAGCAGCTGAATCTGTTCCCATCTGCATATGTAATTTCATGAGCAGTGAAGCACAGGCAAGCTCTTGATTTCCCTCATCTGTCCTGCTGAGTTCCTGACCCACCGAGTATCCAGTATTTTAAACAGCAGTAAGAAGCAGATGATCATCTGAATTTCAGAATAAATTCTTTAAAACTTGCTTGAGGTTCATGCTCCAAATCAAGTTAAGTATTTAAAACTGGCAAGAAAGGACAAGAAACCTTTCTCTAAGTAGCAGAAAAAAGACAAAACTTTAACTTACTCTGGACTGCTGGCTGTGAATCTCAGAGAAACACCAGGACACTGACCCCTTCAGAGATGGCAGTTAAATCACACTGTTTTCTGACTAGTTCTTCCTCATAAATTGGGAATAGGCCATAAATTGGGAACTCAGGGAAGGTAAGAAAATAGGGTAGTGCCTCAGCATGCTCATCTTCAGCAACCCAGCCTGGAATGCAGGACTTTTTGGGACAGTGGGACTAGGAGCGTGGTGAGGCTGTGCTAGTCCCGGGGAGCCTAAGGAGCCCTTCTCTGCTCTTGATATTATGGGCTTGAGACAGCACCACAGGACATCAGGTCCTGGGGGACTAATGGGTAAAGACCAAGCTGACAGGGGAAAAGATGGAGGACAGGTTTGCTGCATTTTTCCTCCCTGCAAGAAGCAGCAGGAATGCAAGTATCCTTTCATCAGCTGGAATCCAGCAATGGCACCTGGGGACTGACAAGGGAATGGGACACATAAATGAGGAGGTACACGCTGTCCAGGGAGAGCCAAAAACCTGCCTGCACACTGCTAGGGAGGCACAGTACTTGCCTGAAGTTGGTGTTGGCTCTTGTCAGCCACAACAGTGAGTGCTGGACAATCCCTTGCTGCCTGCTTGTGTCACCTCTGCCAGGGCTTGTGCCTCTCCCTTGTCCTGAAGCACTGTCACAGTATTTTGCTTGTCACTTGTACATCATTGCACTCATCCTGTCTGTGGCCTCCCTACACTTAGCAGCTGAAGAACTTGATGGTAATTGAAAGGATTTTTCCTTTTAGCTCACTTAATTGAAACTCTGTGCTTTGTCTCACTGCAGGAATTTAAGCCCAGGCGGTGTCAGCCCAGGCTGGGTTTGTCCAGCTGTACCTGTGGCTGCTGAGCTGCTGAGTAAGATCCTCCACATACCCAGGCTCCCAAAAGGCCAAGTGCTACTGCAGCAAAATGCCTCAGAACCTGTGCTCCTTGTTTTCTTACACTCTCTGGTGGATACTCAGAACTTTTCCTGATACAGGTTTTGCACGAATATCCATTCATGCGATCAAATTGACAGCTACTTCTTCTGTGTCATCAAATGAAATTTTGTGTGGTATAATTTACTGTGAGTGTAATGGACAAGTAGAGTCAATGTTACCCTCTTCTATCCCATCGAAAAAGATGAAGAAAAACTCCACCCTGTAAATAATGTGGAAACTGTAACCAAAACTTTTCCATTCCCTTATGGCCACTCCTTCATGTTATCATGTTAAAGATCATGTAGTTCCAACTCTCCTGCCATGGACAACTTCCACTAGATCAAGTTGCTCAGAGTCCCATCCAACCTGGCCTTGAACACTTCCAGGGATGGAGCATCCACGCCTTTTCACTCTTCCTGTGTCTCATCACTTTCACAGTGAAAAATTTCCTCCTAATATCTAATATAAATCCAACCACTTTCAGTTTAAAACCATTCTTCCTTGTCCTGTCACTACAGACCTTGATAAAAAGTCCCTCTCCATCTTTCCTGCAAGCTCCCTTTAGGTATTGAAAGGCCACAAAAGGGTCTCCCCAGAACCTTCTCTTCTCTAGGCTGAACAACCTCTCAGCCTGCCTTCACTGGAGAGGTGCTTCAGATCTCTGATCATCTCTATTCCCAACCTTTTAAACACCCTATGCTGGGCACATCTTCGTTTGGCATAAGGTGTGGCTCTTTGGTAGTTTTGCTACAAGACCAGTGACACCATTTGGTGCTGGGGGTGTCTGCCAGGGTGTGAGCTTTCTGGGTAGGTGCCATTTCTTACAGGCAGCATAACTTAAAAATGAAAATTTTAAAGCCCGTGTAATTTCCAAATGAGGCACAGTATTAATAAAGTGACTCAACAGTCTCTTAGCCTCGGGGGGAAAAAAAAGAGTTTTAAAGCAGAGGTAATAAATCCTTATCCTTGATTTTGAAAAACACGAATTTTGGGGAGAAGTGTCTCTATATATAGATGCTTACTTTTGGAAGCAGTTGACCAAACCTGTAAGTCTGAGAGCAGAAGAGCTATAGGAAATTCCTTATTCCATGTCTGAATATGAGCCAAATTAATTGGTTTTGTGGAAAACTCATAGGCTCCTTCGTGTGCCCAAATGTGTGCTGGTGGTCTATTATCTCTCAGCCACAGAGACCTCAAGATAACATTTAATCTGAGGGGCAGTGGTGGGGACTAAGGGGGAAAATCCTGAGCACAAGAAGCAGCACGCAGGAACCTCTCTATCAGCTGGGAAAGGAGACAGTAGGCGGCAGTTCCAGAGTTTTCCTCTGGATTCAGCAGTACTGTTATTCTTGGCTAGAGGGAAATTATAAGATTGGCAGGGATGGTAAGGATTAACTTAAACACTTCATTCTATATTCTAAGAAAAACCTAGTGAGAATGTATGCTAATGTTTTACATAACTCTTTAGATACAACTAATGGATTTCCAGATATAGTGCCCATCCATCTGGTTATTTAATCTGAGAAGGAAATACTCTGCTGTACTCGTGAATAGCTCCCAAGTTTTGTTTTGCATCATGAGACCTGATGCAGTCTCTGACTCTGATCTTCACATCATCTTAACTCTTTTCTGGGAGC